AAAGAAACTCAACAAAGACACACAAGAACCAAACACAATCAACTTGACCTCATAAACATATACAGAGCACTTAACACAACACCAGCACAATACATTCGTTTCCAGTGCACCGGAAATATTCTCCAGAATAGACGTTAGGCCACAAAGTGAACTTCAGTAAAAGTTAAAACATCAAAATGCTAAAAAGCATCTTCCTAGATTACACTATAAAATTAAAAATGAATGGGAAGATCAAGGAAACAAAATCAAATACATGGAAATTGAATAACACCTTACTTAATAGAAAAAAATTTTAAATTCCAAGAATCTAGAGAGAATGAAAACACACCATACCAAAACTTTTGGGACACAACAAAAGGAGTTCTCAAGTGCTCAGAGGGCAACTTATATCTAAAACACATACATCCAAAAAAAGAACCAAAATCAACACCTAACCCAACATTTAGGAAAATTTCCAACAATTAGGAAAACAGCAGCACAGGAAGCCTACTGACACCAGAACAAAAGAAGTAATAAAGGTCACAGTAAAAACTAATGATATAGAAAAACAGAATCAACAAGAAGATTCTTTTAAAGGATTAATAAAATCAACCTATACAGAGAAAACTACAATTCACAACTAAAACACCAAGAGACCTACAGAAATGGAATATTCCATGCTCATGGAAAGATTTAACATTGTAAAAATGTCAATGCAATTTAAGGCAATCTACAGATAAAATACAACTCCAATCCAGATTCCAATAGTAGGATCAATTCTGGACTGCGAAGCACAAGATCAGCAGTTCAATCCCACCAGTTGCTCCTTGGAAACCCTATAGAGAGTCACTGAGTCAGAATTGGCTTGATGGCACTTAACACCCCCCAAGGCAATCTATAGATATAATGCAATCCCAATCCAGATTCCAACATCATTCTTTTAAAGAGATGGAAAAACTAATCACTAACTTTAAATGGAAAAAGGAAGCTACACGTATGGATGCAGTAGCTCAAAAGAGGAAGCAAATACAGCAATCATCATTCCCACCCCCCACCCCCATACACAGAGTAGACAGGGATGGGCAACTTGGATATTCGCTACCCAAAATGTGGGGCTACAAAGGCAAGAAGTGACTGGCTTACAAGCTTTCAAGAGGGAACCTAGATTCAGAGGGTGTAGAGGAAGGTAGAATCTCCACTGAGTAGTATCCAATCTGTCTAGGTGGAACTGATGAAATGCTGATGGGTCTCTTGTGATACAATAACGAATAATTGTTATCAGGACTGCTTGTGAGAGATGGAAATGTAAAGGTAGACTTTTGTAGCAAGGAGGGGAGCGATTAACTTTTCCGCCTAGGAGCGGAGGTCCCTGGGACCATCAAGGGAGAAGAGCGGGGTGCGGGACCCTACTCAGAGAAGCAGTAATGCCTGAGATGGAAGCAGAGATGATGATGTGGAGAGATGGAGCAGTTGGGGACTTTAGACACAGAGAGGGAGAAGGACTGTGTGCGGATGACAAGGAGGGGAGGAGGGGGCAGGCTTGTAGGGTATATACCCTTTGGTTGGTTGACAATGCATGGAGGGGATTGTAACCGCAGCAATGAAACAATATACGATAGGATGAATGTAAAACTAATGTTCTCCCATGTAAACTATCACATAATTCACAATAAAACATTTAAAAAAAAAATGGAAAGGAAAAGACATAGGAATTAGCATTACTAAAAAATAACAAAGTAGTAGGTCTCTCATTTTCCAATCTCAAAACCTAATACACAGCCATGGTAGTCAAAATAGCCTGGTACTTACTGGTACATTGAAAGGTACAAAGAGCAGTGGAACAGAATTGGGAATACAGAAGTAAATTCATCTACCTACAGTCAGTTGATCTTTGGCAAAGAACCAAAACACATTAAATGGGTAAGAGTCTCTTCAACAAGGGTGGTGACGAAACTGGAAATCTATTTGACAAATGAAACAAGAACCACATCTCACACAATACAAAAAACAAACAAACAAAATGGATTAAAGATCTAAATGTGAAACCTAGAACTATAAAGCTCATCAGTGAAAAAATAGGGACAAATTTACGGGCTCTGATAGATACACTGTCAAACATAACTGACAACACACAAACAGAAGATAAAACAGATGAATGGGATCTGCTAAAAATTAGAAACTTATGTGAATCCAAAGATTTCAACATAATACTACTACCCATTAATAGCAAAAAGACAGAGAGACAGCCTAAATGTCTATCAACAGAAGAATGGTTAAAAACAAAGGTTGGTACATAACACCCAATGGAATGATGAGAAACACCTCATAACATGGATGAACTTGTTAGACATTATGCTAGAAAACTTAATCACAAAAGAACAAATATTGTATAAGACCATTGTTGTAAAAAGGCTTTCTTGCTAATAGAAACATCTATGATGGTTACCACGGATGGGAGAGAAGGGAAGAGAAAATAATCCATGGGGTAGAGGTTAGACATGTTAACTTGGGTGATGGGGAAAGCAATATACAAATGGTGGTTGGTACAGGAAAGATGAAGGTAGTGGAAGACACATGGGAGAAATGTGAATAGTGGAAAATACTGCTGATGGAACAGGGAAGGGATTACAATGGTAATGACACCAAGCGTATAACTTAATTGAATGTTCTGTGAACCTTCACTCAATTCACACACACCCAAAAAGCCAGCCTGTGACAGATGTTAAGCTGAGACCTGGATGATGAGAAGGCACAGGGAAGAGCAGTCACAGAAGTATCATAGGAGGAGAATGCGTATTGGTTCCAGGAACAGTGACTAACCATAATCAGGGCGGCAGATGAGGTCCAGAATAACAGACTGGGCTTTTAATGATAGAAGTTTGGATTTTGGTACAATCACCACTGAACAATTTTAAGCAAAGGAATGACATGATACAATCTACGCCTTAAGTTTACTCTAGATGCAATGCAAATGGTTTGGAGAGCATATTATTGGAGCAGTCCAATAGTAGAGATAAAGGAAGTGGACAAGATACAAATACATTTCCGAAGGCAGGATCCTTAACGTTTGCTGATAGGTTGGTTGAAGGGTATCAAGGGACTTGATAAGGATACTTCTGAAATTTCTAGTTTTCTTATCTAGTGGGTTAAGAGTAGATGGGCAATTTAGTTTTAGGAAAATAGCTACATTTAAATCAAAATTCAAGTGGATTTTGTTTTTATTTTGAAACCAAAATTTTGATCTGACAGTTTTGAATGTATCTCTAATTTTCTATTTTTGTTTGCTGTTTTCTCACCAATCAGGAAAACATTACCACTTATGCTTTAACATTCATTGCAGGGCTCATCTCCATTTCATAAATGATAACATGTAAAAGACAATCACCTAAGCCCTCTAAGACTGCTTTCTCAAATGTAAAACAGGATATGCTTACTTCACAGGGGAAGTTTGAACCAAACCAGAAAACTAGCGTGGAATAAATACCATTTGTTGACCTCCACCATCATGAGGTTAATGGACTCCCCCATTAGTGTAAGTCTTGAACCTTAAAACAAGATGTTGGGATGTTTAATGATGCTTTGCCCATCAGATAAATTAAATACCTTGTAGAGGGGGGTCGCTGCACTGGAAAGGAGTAGGCTGACCCTGTGGTGTCTGTCATCAAGGTTAACTAAACAACGTAAGTTCTACAAGGGTAGAAAGTTCTCTATTGTGTACACTGCTGTGTCCTAAGAACAGTGCCTGGCATAGTAGGTACTCAACTAGTATTTGTAAGAATTAATGAACGACATATAACATGCAAATGATATAATCTCCAACCAAAATTATATGTGATCCAGGCCTCAAAAGGGCCATTCTGGTAAGTAACACTTACATTTCTAGCATAAGTATGCTGTCAGAAGTTCCCATTTACATAGATAAAAGTTTTCAGATGACAAAGGTTTATTGCATGAACTAGACCCAGATTTTACAGAACCTGATAAAACTTTCAGGTCAAAGAATGTTAAGTGCCAGTCAACTCGACCCTTAACACAACCCCATGCACAACAGAACGCCAACACTGCCCAGTCCTGCACCATCTTCACAATTGCTGTTGGAGGCCATTGCTCCGATCACGGTGGCAGTCCATCTCTTTAGGGGGCTTTCTCTATCTCTGACACTCAACTTTCACCAGGCAGAACATCCTTCTCCAGGGACTGTTTCCTCCTGATGGCAGGGTTCAATGAATATAAAAGTCCCCCATCTTCCCATTTTGGGAGCATTCAGGCTCTACTTCTTCCAAGGCCTAAGACAAACCCTGTTAATAAGCGACAATACTGACTTGTCAAATTTTATTGAATATTAATTTTTCATTACAGCTCAGTTGCTTAAATGTTATAATGGCCCTGTGAAACATTAACTGGAAAGGCTACTAACGGGTATCATTTAAAAAACACTGCCCGACTCCAAAGTGAAAAACACACACACATCACACCATTTCTCCCTCAATGCTTTATGTGACTTATGAAGCCCCAACACACTTACCAGTAATATCCCCATCCTTTAAAATGGAGTTCATGGATAATAATAGGCAAATCTTAACATTTCCTTTTCTTCAAGTAGCAGGATAGACAGGCAAACAGATAAAAGAATACTAAATAATCCACTGCAGATCTGCCTGTCACTAAATATTCAATTGAGGTATAGCAATTTTTAGGGTAAAAGTTAAGAATATAGTAATTACTGGGGAGCAATTCCCCTTCATACACCTCCCCAGGCTTTAGTCCATTTGAATCCATGCCAGCTCTTTTTACACATTTTACAAATTCTCCATTTGCCACCAAAGTCCAGGTGCCCGCCTGTCGTCCAGTCCACTGAGGCTCAGCAGGCGCCTGTCAGAGTTGCCAAGCTAGTTTCTGTAACCACACCCTCCCTCCCAGTTCCTGGAATTCAATCTAGAGATCTCCTAAAGAAGGAAATTCTAAGGAGAATAAGGTTTTAAGTCTCTACAAGCCTTGTATTAAGGTAGCACAAAGGATTAAGGTTTGCAGCTATTTTATTTACAAGTATACATTTAACACAATGAAATAAACACTGATGTATCAAGCTTAGTTTAGAGTAGTGTAACAATAGGTATTCTGATGATTACATTATTTTAAACAACAAACTACACTGAAAAATTAATGCCAGTAAAATTCTTGGTCATAATATTATTAAGAAATACAATATATAAATTGAAAATATGATTGCTTAAAATTTGAAAATGGAAGTGAACTCATTTGGACAGTCAGAGTTTAACAGAATCTGAAAGTGGGAGTGGGGAAGAGGCAGGGAAGCTCTGACCCAAATGATGTCTTTCAGGTTAACAGAAGAAAAAAGAAGCGTAGTTTATCTTAAAGGAAAATGGGCAGTTTGCTTCTTCAGGTAAAATATATTCCCAGTGTCCTCAGGTTATGCAGCAGAATCACATCACTGAGCACGAAGACTTTCCTTGTGAAGCTGCTCCATCAATTTTTTCTGCCTCCAAAATTATCCTTCTAAAAACATCAACAGCAGTCTAAAAAGAAACAAAATCACAGTAGCTGTCAGTTTGAAAGGGTTGCTGTTGTTGTTACATTAGATGATGTCAAGCTCATGGTGACCACGTGTGTAGAGTAGAACTGCACCAGACGACTCGACCTTTTGGAAGCACTGGCAGGCATACACCCTTTCCCTTCTACTGCGCCCTCGGAATTTGAAGGTTGAGCATCAGCACATTCCTTCTTCACTTTTCTATTCCCATATTCCCTAAAGTCACTGCTTTCCCTGCAGCCCTTTCAAGAGGGAACCAGTTTCTATCTCCTATTTCTCCTATTACAAGACTCACAGTGTGGTCGGGGCCCTCCCTCTGGCTCTTTACCAAGCCCCTTTTTCCTAAACCTCCCAGTTTTTAAACTTATACCACGAGACCACATGTATCACTTCTAGCCCTCCTCATTATGTGTGTGAAGCGCCGTTGAGATGGTTCCAACCCATAGCGATCTAGGGTTCCGAGGAGCAGCTGGTGATCTAGAACCACTGGCCTTGCAGTTCAAACGGCTTTGCAGTCTGGAGCACTAACCCACAGCGTCACATCAGGTTTGGGCCACCTCCTCTCACCCCTCCTGGCTCGTCATCAGTCCTCTATCATCACTCCATGGATGTGTCTTTGGTTATTTTAACCCACAAGACTTCCTTTTCAACATTGTAGTCTTTCAGATACTTGGCCTTTTCTTCTCTGATAATGTCAGTCTCACACTCTTATGATCAAGCCATACTAGTCCTTCACAAGGAGTTCTCAATTGGAGCACAAAGTCTGCTTACAATGAAGTAACTCTGGTATTGTCAGTCCCTGCCCTTTAAATGCCAATAGCACCACCTGTAGTCAGTGAAAATTCAAAGAGAATTCATTTTCAAAAGCACCAAAGGGGAGCAAAGCAGTGCCTAGACCTTATCATTACCAACAGCCACACCTCCTCAACCATCAACTTCAAATATTAACAATTCTCAATCCTACAGGGAGCTACAATTCATTAATCCTCCTACATTTCCCCAATTCCTAAATTGCTTCCTATTCTCCTTGGCCAGCTTAGATTCCATGGTCCACTATACTTCAACTTCCCTCTCACTGCCACATGGTGCTCGCAACCATACAGAAAACTCTCTGCCTCCTGTCCTCTTTAAATCCCTGGCCTTGAATCTAAAGTGGGTCCCTAGTACTGCCCACAACCACACTGGTGCACTCTCCCAGATGAATATTTCATGTCTTCTCCTTTCTCCTCAAATTTCTAACACCCCACCCCCACTCCTCAGCCCCCATTCTCACACTCAGCTGATAACCCTGTTTTCCATTTTACTGGGGAAACAGAAGCAGCATTCATTAGATAACTGCATACTCCCTTCAGTGAATCCATCCACTCAGTCTGGGCTCACAGACTTAGTGTTCTTTCCTGTTGGGATGAATGAGATGCCTGTTTTTCTAATTAATCTAAAGCCAACTCCCATTCTCTTTTGCCTATCAATGTCACTGGCTTCAGCAATTCTCCCCACTTACATTTCCTCCATCCTTTATCTATTTCTGTCCCTCTTTTCCACAATTATACAAACGTGTTATTTAGCTGATTCTAAAAAATACACAGAAAGTATTCAGAAAGATACACACCAAGAAAAAGAAACTATCCCAGTTATTTGATTCTTTATATAAATCTCAGCACTAGCCTTGATTATCTGTGTGATCTCACTCTGTCAAAGTACACTCTCTTTCACAAACTGCTAAAGGAAAAGGTAACACTCACTACCAGGTAATAAAACAGAATGGAAAATAGACACCAGAGTTCACAGGTCATCTAAGAGCACTACTCTTAAATAGTAACAATTCTTCCTATGGTGCACTTAGTTACTGGTTGACTGAATTCTGGCTAAAACATTGTATTTTTGCTAAAGAACACAAATTACAAACAGGCTATATTTGACAGCCTTTATTGAAAAATAAAAACAAAAAATTTCAAACAAACTGATATAATCATATGACTCTGAGTTGGGATCAAGTCAATGGCAGTGAGCGCAGTCTTTCTCTCTCACACACAAAGGGTTAGGAAAAAAAATATTACTACTACATGGATGGGTTTATTCCAAACAAAACACATTTAAACATATCTCTGCAATCAATCAATGGATGGCTGCAGACAAATTCTCTCAGTAACACACCTGTGGTAGTCTCATTAAAGTGCCTTAAAAAAAAAAAAAGCCCACTCAAGGCCATGAGATCAGCTACACATTTATGGCAACTGTTTTTTTTAATTCCTAAGGGGTCATCTTGACAGATTTTCTCAAACAGAAGACAATCATAGGGGCTTAAACAGAACCCTGGTGAGAAAAAAGCTAGGGAAGTTATGCCAAGGAATGATTTCCATCACGAAAATGCACATGCTCATTCTTCACAGGTAGTAAGGTCTGGCCTGTAAAAATTTCGTTGGGAAACCTTATTACAAAACCTACCCTACAGCCCTGGTCTTGCACCCTCAGACTTCACAAATTCAAAGAACACGAAAAGGGAATGCAACGTGAATCCCTTAAGAATTCTAAAACTACTGTTTTAATGTGGTGTAGGTTTAATGGCGCTGTAGGATCACACTAGACTGTGAACCATAAGGTTGGTAGTTCAAACCCACCAGTTGTTCCTCAGAAATCCTACTGTAGTTGTTAAGTGCTATCAAGTCAGTTCTGACCCATAGTGACCCTGAATAGGGTTTCAGAGCAGCAGCTGGTAGATTTCAACTGATGACCCTGCGGTTCAAATTGACATTGTGGTCCAGTGCGTTAACCCAGGGCGCCACACTAGGATTCCACAAGGTTGGCAATTCAAACCCACCAGTTGCTCCTTGGAAACCCTATAGAGGGTAGGTATGAGCCAGAACCAACTCAATAGCAATTAACAATGACAACAAATTCAAAAGTGCTGCATCTGGCGGGGAAGGTTACAGATGGAAACATTGCCTTCAGGAGATGGAAGATATGTAGAGAGGCATAATGGCTTCACATTTTGATCTGTTTGCTAAAGGTTTTTGATGATTTTTTGTAGCAAGACATTTTGACTGACCATGTTTTTGTCTGTCTCTGTGTGTGTCTGTGTATAAAGGAGCTTCAAAAAGGTCATGGAAATATGAAATTAGAAGATAATGAAAATTTTCTATGAATGCTTTCAAGCCTGTTAATATATGTACCTTCCTATTAAGACAGATGAACTGTAATCATTTTATTAACTAAGGTTATCGACTAAAAATCAAAGAATAAGTTGTTCTCTTACGTAAGGGTTGTTTAGGATTAGCTACTTATTGACACTACTTTCAAAGACAAAATGAGAAAAACACAATGAGACTATAACAGATATCTGAGATATACCCACAGAGACCACTAAGGTATTTGATTAGAACATTTTACCGTATCATCCAGTGATACCATGAATTTGCATAATTTGAATACAAGATTCTTCTTACATTACAGGAACCATTTCATACAAAATCGGAACTTACTGAAATGATGTTAATACTAGAGCATATAGCATTTGTTTTGCTTAAGATGTACTTGCCTACTTTGCTGAACTATGAATCATAGAATCTAAGCTGACCAAGAGGGAAAGTAGAAAGAGTGGCTTAGATAATAAATTTGCTAAATAAATCAAAATCTAAAATACTTATAGTAGTAATTTGTTCATTTTAACTTCTAAAAGCATTCAGCCCAATCCGTCTTTTGAGTACTCAAACAGCAGTATGCTACCTTCTAACAAAATCAAAAGATCAAAGAATAAACCTATCTAGAACTATATTAAAAGCCTTAAATTATAGTAAAGCACAACATAATCTACAGAAAAGGCCTGCATTCAGAAACTAAATAGTTTAATAACATACTATAAACAAATTACAGGCTACTCAAAAAGATTAAATTTACCCAAGGCAATATGCCTTATTAGAACAAAATCCCTCTTAATTACAATGGGTAGAGCCCATAGGTATCTTTGAAGCTGGTGACAAGAGTAATTCTCTCTGTCTCTCCTTATCCTCCACCCCAACCCCAACCTGCATACACACAGAGTTAGATTAAATTCTGTGAATAATGAAATATTGCCAATGATGTCTACTTTATTATAATGTCAACTAGAATATTTAATTGCTATAGGACCAACATGTTCACCAAAGAGAAACAAATAGGGTGAAGGTGGCATATAGAATCCAAAGTTAGCCTGTAGACTACTCAACTACATTTGGCCATCCTCAATTTTTTTATGAAAAATTTGAAGCACATAGAAATGGAAAGAACTGCACAATAACCACACACATCCACTATCTAGACTGTTAACATATTTTCCATACGTGTTTGCCCATTCTACCTATTCACCTATCAATACTATAATCCATCCCATTTAAAAGTAAACTGCAGACATTATGAGACTTGACTCCTAAGTAGTTAGGTTTATGCTTCCTAAAACTAAGGATATTTCCTTTATTATCCCAATACTACCACAGCCCCTAAGAAAATGAATGTCATTTTTCCCTAATGAATATACACAGTCCCCAGCTTGTACACCACCAAGAGCACACATTCTATCTCTTACACTTGAGTTGTGTACAATCCCCCGTCGCCCCCATCCCATCAATCAGAAAGCATGGCACAGTAGAGGACAAGAGAATTGTAACAGGGCTACATTTAAAGCTGAGTCCTAAAGTCCTAGTCTCATTACCATATAAGTATATAGTGAGCTCAGAAAAGTAATTTTCTTTCCTCACTTCTAACATGAGACAGTTTAACTAGATGATCTAAAGATAGGGTAGGAACACAGTAAGCAATTTCACTCAATTAAAAATAACAGCTATCTCTTACTATTTGAAACTCTTGCCACCTGAATTCTCACTATCTTGTACTCAGGAACTGAACTGACTCAGATAAATACCTCAGGTACCAGAAACTTGGGAACTATTATATAGTTTTAATATCTCTCACTATCTGAATAGTTGCAGTTGTTAAGTGACGTAGAGTCGGTTCCGATCCATAGTGACCCTGAACAGGGTTTCCGAGGCTGTAATTCTTTACAGGAGCAGAAAGCCTCAATTTTCTCCCGTGGAGCAGCTGGTAGTTTCAAACTGCTGGCCTTGTGGTTCGCAGCCTGATTCATAACCACTACACTACCAGAGCACCGTATCTGAATAGTAGAACCTAACAAATCTGAGTACCAAGGGATACCTATGTTGAATGCAAATATATTATGATACAAAAACATTGTGCTGAATATTATGGTTTCAGATCTCAGAATAATTAAGGAACATAGGAAACCATTATTAATTTTAGCTGATAAATCAAGGAGTCAATGAGAAGGTTAAAATTTTAGCCAAGCCTTGAGGACTACTGATCTTAATAATGGGATAAAAGCAGACAGAAGAACACCAAGTCAACTATTTGCTAACTATCCACACCAAGAGTTAAGTTAGTTTTACTTTCACTGAACTATAGTTTCAAAGAAATGGAAACTAACTCATCTTACTTGAGATGAGCATATTAAAAAGCACTTTAAAAAAGTATAAAACCCTAGGAATGTAAGTACTTAATTAGAAAAAAGGATCATTTGAATCAGAGAAGAGCATTCATAAAGGTGAGGTCTTTTTAAAAGCACCATGCTTGCTAAAATGATTCCGTGTAACTCAAAAAAGTAATGGTGTGGAGTCAGAGAATAAATCATATGCTGCCCTCAATATTAAGCTAGTTCTATGGACAATAGGACACTTAGTGGTAGTTTCTGAGTGGAGGATGACAATCTGATTTGTAGCTTTAGTCAGTTAGAAGACTAGTTTACTAGAGGAATAATGAAAGTAGAAAACAAGTTAAGACACTAAAGGTTTGGTTGAGACCATAATCTAAATTAAAGCAACAGAAGAAAAAGGAAAACGCAAAACCTTCAAAAATAGAATCTATGTCTTTTTCTAGGACACATCTCTTAAGAACATCTGCTGTTGCTGTGTGCTAAATCATAGTGATCCTTTACAGGGTTTCTGAGGCTGTAATTCTTTACGAGAACAGAAAGCTCATTTTTCTCTCATCGCCTGCAGAGTGAATGGTGCGTTTGAACTGGTGACTCTGCAGTTAGCACCTCAACACCCAGCCCAATATGCCACCTGGGGTCATCAAGGTCCTACTGGTAACAAATGGTCATAATATTATCTATGTTAAAAATATTAAACCGATTCACTTTTATCCCACAGAAAAGGGAGAAGAGATGTAATTATAAAATTATTGCCAAATGAACAATTATGAATAATTCTCTTTTGTTTTCCACGGTAGCAACTATCTGTGTAATAGCCTTTACTATAAAATGAAAATGTTTACAAAAGGCAGTGTTTCCTTTCCTATGAATTTGTGTGTCCTCCACATATTCTAGGTCCTGTCCTAAGTAGAATCCTGGCAGAATTTATAAAAATGTAATGAGTACATCTTGTTAAAGCAACCACAAAAAATGGTATTAGAATTGACAGAAGGCTAGAAATGAACCAGGAGTGATGGAGATGAAGGTAAAATGCTGGAACACTATGCTAAGTTCAGTTTTATAAATATGTACCTGATTTTCTTTAGCAGAAGATTCCAAAAAAGCTGCATTCCAAGATTCTGCTAAAGCTTTCCCTTCTTCGTAACTGATCACCCTAAAGGGAAAAAGGAAATTCTAATTAGTTTGTCCTTCATCATATATAACAACATGAAATCAGGCAACACTTTAACCTCTCTTTCCTTATGAAGCAGAATCATGTTCTCAACAGTATCAGCAAGTGTAACAGAGAGGATCGTTTTAACTATGCTACAGTCAGGTACTCCCTGGAAACCCCATACAGGTTTGTTATGAATTGGAATCAACTCAAAGGCACCTAACAACAACTAAGAGTTGGGGAACAGAACAGACATTGTCTTATGTTCTTAAGTGGCCCTGAGTCATTTCCGACTCACAGCGACCCTCTGTACAAAACAGAATGCAACACCGCCTGGTCCTGTAACATCCTTCACAATTGTTGTTACACTTGAGTCCATTGTTAATGCCACTGTGCCAATCCATCTAGCTGGGGGGTGGTCATCCTCTTTCACTGACTCTCCACTTTTACCAAGCATAATGGACTTCTGGCAGTTCCTTGTTAATAATGCATTGTTGCAGCCATTTTTGAGTTTATTTATAGCAAGATTTTACTTGCATGCGTTATCAATGATATTGTCCAATGATCCACATTCCACTGGGTCACCTCTCTTTAGAATGGCCACAAATAAGATCTCTTACCACTTAGCCAGGCAGCTAGCTGTTTTCCAAGTTTCTTGGCATAGATGAGTGAGTGCCTCCAGGGCTGCATCAGTTTGTTGAAAATTTTCAATTTGTATTCCATACATTTCCTGAGCCTTGTTCTTTGACAATGCCTTCAATGAACCTTGGACTTCTTCCTTCAGGACCACTGGCTCGTGATCATATGCTACCTTTTGAAATAGTTGAACACTGGCCATTTCTTTCGGTACAGTTGACTCTGTGTATTCCTCCTTCCATCTTCTTTTGATACCTTCTGAATCATTCAGTATTTTACCCATGTTGCTGTTGTTTACGTGCCACTGAATTGATTCCTTCTCATACCGACCCTGTACAGGTTTCCAAGGAGTAGTGTTGAGTTTGAAAAGTCAACCTTGCGGTTCAAACCAACCTTGTTTAGTAGAATAACCTAAAGATATATATTTTTTTAAATATAAAGGTTGCTTTTCTTGAGGAAATACTTTCAAGATATGTGAGATTTATACTGTAGTTGTGCTTCTGCTATGCATAATCACATGTTTTGGAACACAAAAACAGATGATGCTAGTCAAAAATATTCTTGCCGTAAGATTAAAAATGGAATTTCAGTGACTTAGTCAATTTAGACTTAATTTTATAAATCTACTATTATTTAAAAGCATCATACCTTTCCATATGTAGGTCTTTTTTATTTCCCACCAACATAATAGGTATTCTGTTAAGATAAAAGCCAGAGTAGACTAGTTAGCACCAGATTTTACTATTTAGAAGATACTATTGATTAGTTTATCTAACAAAACAAATAAAGAAAAGGTTAACTACTTACTGAACTTTTCCCACCATATCCAACAATTTGCCATGGATAACTTTAATCACCTCAAAGCTACAATACAAAAAGTATGGTATCAGAGATCCCTTTTAGTCTGTAAACACTCATTAAAAATTTTTAAAGTATTTATAATTATATTTACAAGAATTTTTAGTAATGCATGCCAAAAAACTTTTAAAGTATGTATTACAAAATGTTTATAGTAAGACAATATAAAATGCCCTACCATATAAATACAAAATAAGCACAAGGAACATGCAAAATACAAAACACAATAAACACACACAGTTCTAGATGGTGGAAACCGTGAAGCTGTTCCACTGCTAACAGAAAAGTTGGAGGTTCAAGTCCACTCAGAGGTGCTTAGGAAGAAAGGTCTAAATAGATATGTACTTCCAAAAACAAAACAAAAAACTAAACAAAAACCCACTCAATTGAAAACTCTAGAGAAAAGTCCATAGTTCTACTCTGACATACACAGAGCATGAGCAGAGGGGAACCTGATGCCAACTGTTTTCTTGGTCTCCTATTTCAACGTATCTACTTGATGGTTGATAAAACGGAGACACTGCACAGTAGAGTGACTTGTCTACAGTTGTAAATTGTTAGTAGGGATAAACAAGAACCCATACTATCTTTTAAATCCCAGTTCTTTTTTCCATTTCTAGAAATTGTGAAAACAGATGTAATCTTTATTTTGTTTAGTCAGAAGGAATAACTCTACAGAAGCTTCTTAAAGGAGTAATCTAAGATAGTTCACAAAATAATGAACAATGTTTATCATTTAGATTAGGGATAAATTCAACCAAAAACTTACAGTTCTGACCAGCTAACTAGCTTATTCAAAGTTTCACTAAAATATTCGTCGGTTACTAATAAATATCCACGTATTCCAGCATACATGTTTTTAAAACATTAAAAAAAACACACACCATTACTCTCTTATCCCTTCATGCTTGAGGTTTATTGAGAATGTCTTTTCAACTGAGTTACTATGATGAATACCCACTGCTGTTGAGTTGAATTTCAACTCATTGTGACACTTAGGACACAGTTGTTATTATTGTTAAATGCCATCAAGTTCCAACTCACAGCAACATTACACAGAGTTTCCAATGAGTGGCTGGTGGGTCTGAACTGCTGACCTTGCTGATCCTCCAGGCCATTGAACCAGGCCTCCTGTCCTATCGGGTATTCAAGACTATCAAGTTTTATAGAAGCAGACTGCTGCATCTCTCCCAAGCAAAGAAGCTAGTGGGTTCGAACCACCAATATTTCAGTTGGCAGTGGTTTGCTTTAACCATAGCCCCTATGATAAAAGTGTTTTTAAAAAACTAAACCGTTTTAAGTAAAGCAAGACAGGCTCAGAGATTGCCTCAAGTAACATGCTAAGATGAGTTGTTTATTTCTTTGCTACGCCATTAGGCAATAGTTTCTCTAATACACGATGTCCTTGGGGAAGTAAGTTTTCATCTTAAAATATCTTAATTTTTAAGTCTTCCCAGTAACAAATGCTATCTTTTCAACTTGATTCTTGAATGTCATCTAGTTTGTATGTACCCAAAAAGGAGATGAAAAGATAATCTGTCAATGGATGCATCAAGAAATTTAAAAATTCTTCAGACTAATAATTTATAAAGTAACCCATATTGATACTTTTCTAAAAATTGCATTAAATACTTTACAAATAATGAAACCAAGTTTGAACAAGTTGGTTTTCAAGTAAATTAGTGCAGCAGTGTAAATTCATAAAGTCATAGTATTCATCGAATTATTGGTATATTAAATTTGTTCTAAATAAGGCATTACATTTAAAAAGAAAATCTCAGCATTTTGTGACCAAGTGAGGGTAAACATGAATTATGCCTTAATAGACTTAAAAAATATAAAATCAAAGTTCAGAAAATATTTACAACTAGTATAATAAAGGAGCTCTGGTAGCGTAAAGGAGCTCTGGTAGCGTAGTGGTTACGAATCGGGCTGCGATCCGGAAGGTCAGCAGTTCGAAACTACCAGCTGCTCCGCGGGAGAAAGATGAGGCGATCTGCTCCCGTAAAGATTTACAGCCTCGGAAACCCTATTCAGGGTCGCTATGGGTCGGAACCGACTCGACGGCACTTAACAACAACAACAACAGTATAATAAAAGGACTAAAAGTTTTACCATTTAAAGTATTCTTGTCTTTAAGAAAACTACCAAGTCACAAGATACTAAATAGGCAATGATTTTAGGCATAAAGCCAAACATTAAGTGACAAAATATAAACATATTAGATAATTTTCTATTGCTCAACACAGATTATACACCAACTTACTGCTTTTCAAAGTGTAATAATAACAAATGTATTTATACTTTAAGTAAAAATAAATAATATGGAACAGCATTCTGAGAGGAAATATAAGTATGATTCATGAAAAATTAAAAAGTAGAAAAAGAAATATACTCAGAAGATCAAGAATTATTACCTCTTCTTTTCTATTTTTAAATTTTTAGCTTTAAGTATTTTCAGGGGCTATACAGACATATTGTTGTTGTAAGGTGCCATCGAGTTGGTACTGACTCATAGCGACGTTACGCACAGCAGAATGAAACACTGCCCAATCCTGAGCCAGCCTCACTACTGTTGCCATGCTTGAGCCCACTGATGCTGCCACTTGGCCAGATAGACATATGGGGATTATTTTTTATAAGAATGACCACAGAACTCAAAACATTTTATAGTTAAGACTTTAAAAACAGAAATGGTATGTCCCTATCCTAAAGAAGAAGTTTAAATAAAACACTAACTGTGAACACACATCATATTTTCCTTTGTGCAGTGGTGAAGAGTCTAGACCTACACTGTCCAATGTAGACACCACTAGTCACGATGGCTATTAAGTACTTGAAATGTGGCTAATGTGACTAAATAATTCAATTTTAAATTGTATTTCACTGACATTTCCCATGTGCAGACGTTGAACATTTCCACCATCACAGTACGCTCTATTCACCAGCACTGGTTCTGATTGTGGAGTCAGAGTCCTGGATAGAAATCTCAGCACTGCCACACACGTCTGTGCAACCTGGGCAAGTGACTGACCCTTCTGTCACTCAGTTCCTTTCTATATAAATCTAGGCTACCTCTGTTGAGGAGGACTATTTAAGTTAATGATTAATACATTATGATGTTAAGTATAGAGCACAGTAAATCTGCTGACAAGTCAAAAACATTCAATAGAAGCTAAATATCCATAAAACTCCCCTCCAACGACATTGAATTCTTATGAATTCTTTAAAGATCGAAGTGCTTATTCAGTGCTTAGCTCCCTGCTACTGCTTACTGACAGCTCTGCTTAACCCAGTCATTGACTTAACGTTCTCAATTTCCTTGTTCCAAAACCTGCCATGCCCTGAACAGTGTTAAATGTATGGACAGAGGAGACAAAATGTGTTCTTGACTAACAAACACAGTAACCCCACTTTTATGTGGAGTCCCGGGGTGGTGCTGTGGGTTAATACACTGGACTGCATGGTCGGCAGTTCACGCTCACAAGCTGCTCCTTGAAAAACCTATATAAGGCCGTTATGGGTCAGAACTGACTAGATGGCACTTAACAACAGCAACAACAACAACCTTTTCAATAATAAAAGTTTAGGTCAGTACAAACTTTCATTCTATCACTACTACAGTACATCTATCCAGATAGTATTATTTCTTAACAATGTAATCACTAAAAAGTATTTAGCCTAATAATTAAGTTCAATTGTTACTACTACTTGCAGCATAATCCTCTTAAAGATTAATGCTTATCTATGTGTAACAAATTCTCAAGCAAACACTAGGCATGATTATTACCTTTTGATTGATGTAACAGAGTACACAAGGATGTAACCATTAATATCTATAGAGTATGTTTGAGGAAAGATGGAATATTCATCCTATGGAAGAAAAAAAATTATACTTAGCAAATGCAATATAGATACATTTAGTAAATATAGCCTAACACACAATATATATCTAAATTTTTTCACATATTATCAGTAAGTTATAATGAATTTTAGTTACAACAAACTAACCACGCTATGACTGTTTCTTTTTCTTAATACGTTTTATTGTTAGTAATGTGTACTACATACAATGCTGCAGTTGATGAAATTATCACTCTCAAGTCACTCAGAGTTGTTCAATGTTAAATAAAAAGCAATAATAATGAAAACTTAGGGGAAAAAAGAGGTATTCGACTTACATCAGCACCAACTTATAAGAGTCACCAGAATAGAACCCCACTGTAAGTTGTGGACTGCATGTACACAAATATGTACAGAAACAAAGCAAACACTAAAGATTTGTCTAAGACTAGTTGTGGGTAATATGCTTTAAAGGCAAAATTCAAAACTGACTCTAGCTGACCTAGGATGTCAGTAGGAAGTACCTTCTCTAATTCCTAGGAAAAGAGGGAAGAAAGGAAAAGATAAAGTGTCCATGTTCTATCCCATATTCTATGGGAATCAAAAACTTATTTACTAAGTTACTTTAGAAATTAAAAAGGCACATATTGTGCAGCACTGTTAACTGGCCCGCACGTTATAAAGCAGCTTTAAGAAACTTTGCTTTAGGTATAGAATTATTAAATCATATTTTTTAAAAAGTTCTGTTGTCAATGAAGTGTTCATTATTGTGTTAAGAAATAATACAAACATTTCATTCGAAGCTGAAATAAAGGTATGAATATATCACATGTACCAAACATTATTAATAGTATGGAGCCCTGGTGTGGTGATGAAGGGTAAGCACTTGACCATAAGGTCGGTCTGAACTGCAAGGTTGGCGTTTCAAACTCATCAGCCGCTCCTCGGAAATCCTATACAAGCTTGCTATGAGTTGCAATTGACTCAATGGTACTTAACAGCAATAACATTAACAGTATAGTTATAACTCATATTCATAAAAGCAGAATTATTATAACATGGTCAAATGTCTTATAAAAAAGAAATATTTAAAACATCAGTCTGTTGATATCCTTAATAGGAGTCATTAATCAGAACACTTATACATCACAGAGTTTACTATATATACAGAACTTTCTTTGTATTTCTTATTAGTACAACTTTCATTAAGTTGAGTCCATATTAGTGTCGATTTTTAAGAACACATAAAATGATTTTATAGTTGCCAGCATAGCTAGAGTAGGTCTAAAGCTCAAATAATCTTTTCCCTAAAGTCAAGATGTGGGAATACAGAAAATACCTACAATAATTAGTGTGCAAAAACAACCTGTTAGAAGGTATAGTGGGAGGTGAGATGAGAAAGAAGAGTCCCAGGTGCAGCAGCTACCAAGAGATTAATTCCTAGGAATAAATTTTAGAAAATCAAAGTATATGAACACAATCTTAAACTATTTCCAAGAAAATACACACGAGGTAAACAAATAGAACTATGTGCTGTGATCTTCAGTAAGAGTATGCAGGTGTATAAATTAATAATGTAAATGTAACATGATCCTAATAAAAAGTACTCTCAATGAAGACTTCTATTGATCCCATTTTACTAAGTCCCAAATTCACACCACCAAAGATATACGTAATCTGCAGAGTGAGTGTCTAGAATAGTTCTGCTCTAATAAAAAGATTATGATGTCCGATTACCAGGCATGGCATGAGTATATGAGACACCATGCCTGGTATGAGTATATAAGACGAATGAAGAAGGTACAGGTTATATCTCTATATACAAGCTTAATATAGCCATTTTCTTGCTTCATTAGAGGTTATACTTTCATTCTACATACTACTACCTTATAACAAAAGGCAGAGAAAATATTTTAGGTCCACCCCAATACCTAAAAAAAACCTCCATTTAACACTCCAGACCAGGCTACACTAAACTCAATGGCCTGTTAGTGTGGCCCTTTGCCAACTGTAAGATGTAAGGGTAGGCATTCCAGTGAGAAGCTGGAAACAGAATTCCAATTTCTTTACATCCCTCATGTCTCATTCCCCAGTGAACAACAATAAATGTAATCTAACAGAACGGCTTCAAATAAAAGTTACAATTGGATAACGTGGTATTGGGGAAGCTAAAATGGCAAAAAAAATTTTGTTTTTTGTTACCTTAAAGTACTCTTCAGTTCTTCCATCCATGCTTCAATTCAATTCTCCTGATAATCTATTTCCCAAAAGGTTTATAATAACCTATGACCTTTTGGGTCACTTGTAAATCAATTGCTACCAAGTCAACCCCATGTGTATGTAAGTAGAACTGTGCTTCACAGAGTTCTAAATGGCTGATTTTTGGAAGCTTTCTTCCTAGACACCTCTAGGTAAACTGAAACCTCTAACCTTTTGGTTAGCAGCCAAATGTTTGCAGCAATTATCTAGTGTCTAAGCAAAGAGACACTCCTTGATCACTATCAATTCCATCCCTCATATAATCCAATTATAGACAGTAAAACTAACACTCAAACTGGATCTTCTTCCAATTAGACCAGACTTTTTATAGCCTAATTTCTCACAAGATTAAAGTAGCTCATTTCTGCCTTATAAGTTTGTTCATGCTGTTCCCCTAGAAAAGACTTGCTTTTACTCTTAATGGAGGAGAATATGTGTTAAAAAGAAAGCACTTTAGTAAACATAAACCCTCACAATGTCAATACATTTACAATTCTAAAGTAGAAAAGCTAATACAGTTGACCCTTGAACAACATGGGTTTGAACTAGGTGGGCCCACTAAGATGTGAATTTCCTTCCCTGTGGCTGTTGTGGTGAGCTCCTGCATTGTTGAGTATCCCCTTAAAACACCATGTGACGTTGATCATCTCCACGTAAACAGATCATCTCTGCAGGTATTTTAAGTGGATACTCGTACCACTTGAGCACACCACAACAGCACAGTTCAAATCTGTGTCGTTCAAGGGCCTACTGTGTAAGATTTTCAGATACTACAGATCACTTACTTGCCCAGCTGTGTCTACAAGTTGAAGATGATATTCTTGTCCATTTACTGTGATCAATTTTGTAAAAGCTACAGAGGAAAAGCAAATTAAATATTAGTTAAAACAAAATAAAAAAACTCTAGACCTCTTAAAGACTGAATAAAGATAATAAATTAGAGGCCCTAATAATCTCATTAAAAGCCCCCACAAAACAGAAAAAGAACAAATCTTTGAATTGCACAGATTCACTCTGGCTAACAAGTTTGTGTAAACCTTGAATCTTTTTTTAAAGAAACAGATTAGGGGACAATCCACATCCTAGAAAAGTAATCTAAATGCACTAAACGTAGACAGTCCTTCTTGTGCCAGCAGTGAGATACAAGTTTGGAGGCCTTCTCTTGTTGTTAGATGCCATGGAGTGGTCATGCACAAGATAACAAAACACTGTCTGCCTCTGCGCAGGGCTGAAGTCTAGGATAAACCAAAAGCACAAAACTTTGTTTTTAGTTTATAGAAGGTCTTGTGTCCAAGCATAAAGAGGTAACATTAATTGAAATGCTAAGCATTTTCAGCACATAAATAAATTTAACAAATATATTGAAAGATAAAATGGCAATGGAACAGATGTTCTGTGTTGAAAGTCTAGTGTGAGGATCAGGGATCCTAGCAATTTGTCACAACTTTTTTTCTCATCAAGTGGGAAAAAAAATCAGAGTCAAACTGACTTCCAGGAAAGTAGATTTAGAACTCTAAGTAGGCAGATTTTAATAAAAATAGATAAAAGAGTAAAGAATTATTAATAGCAACAGAATAATACAAAGTAACCATATCTGGAGGCCAGACAGTTCAACAGTACATACTGCTTTTGTGAACCTTGCCCAGAGAAGCCCACAACCTCCCGGCAGCAGAATCTACCCTCGCATAATGAGACACAAAGAACCACTTCTGCTCACAGTGAAAAGAAAATTAAAACCAGACAGATGGAAATTATGTTAAGGCAAAAACAGGGTAGATAGGATCTCATTTGAACTATATGAATTCCACAGAGAGAAAAAGAATGACTATTAGTGAAGCAATAATCAAAGAATCAAATTAGCATCCTACTTTTCAAAGTAGGGGTGCTATAAACCAACTGAGTACAGATTACAGACAAGACTACCTAAGTGAAAGGAATATGTCCCAGAACTGTGTATACTGCCAAACTTTTTATCATTTTTGTTCTCTTTCTAGAAATGATCACCTTAAGGAAATAGTTAAAATCAGATGAAAATGGAATTAGAACAAGTCTCTCAAGATGGAGAATACTCAAGGTACCCTATTTCATTAATTAAGATGCTCACATCCTGCCATCAATGACACCTTCCATCATTATTGGCCAGGTGAAGTGACTGACACTTTTAGTGGCCTAAGTGCAAAAAGGTCTATATTTTGGATTTGATGAAAAACTGATGAAATAGCAGTGAGCAACAAATCCAGTATGCTTCGATTAGAGCTAAATAACTGGGGTTATGAAAAGATTATTGGAATGAAAATTACTTAATTCAAGTAATGTTTCCTGAATGCCTATTATAATCAATACTAGTAACTGTTCTAGGCACTCAGGATACTGTAGTCTGTGAGTCCGGGGAGCTCTCTAATAAAGACAGACATGGGCACACACACACACAACCACACAACCACTTCGTTTTTTTCAGAAAGAAAAAAGGATTCAGTAAATAAGATGTGAAGTGATATAAAAGTAAAAAGCTTGGAAATGTATGTGTATATATAAGATCTAAATTCAACTGTTATTATTGTTAAGGGCCATTGAGTATATACGGTTTCCAAGCAGCGGCTTGAACCACTGCCCTTGTGGTTAGCAGCCCAGTGCTTATAATACAGAGCCACACCAGGACTCCAAAGTCAACTATTATCACAAAAAAGTTGTTAATTCTACAAACAGCAATTTAATGAAATCGAATTTCTGTTAATCATAGGTAAATTGCTGCCTCTTGTTATTGTAGGAAAAAAAGACGTGCATATATACGCATACATGCACATATGTGCTACTTCTTGAAATAGCTGAACATTAACCAATTCTTTTTGGTACAGTGACTCTTAGTATTCCTTCCATCTTCTTTTGACGCTTTCTTCATCAGTCAGTATTTTGCTCATGGAATCCTTCAATATAGCAAGTCGAGGCTTGAATTTCTTCTTCAGTCCCCTCAGCTTGAGAAATGCTGAGAGTATTCTTTCTTTTTGGTTTTCTAATTCCAGGTCATTGCACATTTTGTTATAATATTTGACTTTGTCTTCTCAAGCTGCCACCTTTGAAATCGTCTGTTTAGCTCTTGTACCTCCTCACTTCTTCCATTTGCTTTAGCATCTCTAAGCTGCAGAGCAAGCTCCAGTCTCTTCTGACATCCACTTTAGTCTTTTCCTTCTCTCTTATCTTCTCAATGACCTTTAGTTTTCTTCCTGTATGATGTTTTGTTTTTTTTTTTTTTATGTTTTATTGTGAATTATGTGATAGTTTACATGGGACAACATTAGAGTTTTACATTCATCCTATCATATATCATTTCATTGCTATGGTTACAATCCCCTCCATGCATCCTGTATGATGTTCTTGATGTCATCCCACAAGTCCGTTGGTCTTTAGTGTCTAATGCATCAAATCTATCCTTCAGATGATCTCTAAATTCATTTGGAATTGTTCAAGATCATACTTTGGCTCTCGTGGACTTTGGAAGGCAACTACCTGGAGCCAACTATCTGTATTTGTGCCCATTCCAAAGAGAGGTGACCCAATGGAATGCAGAAATCATTTGACAGCATCAATGATATCTCATGTGAGTAAAGTTTTACTAAAGGTAATACAGAAACGGCTGCAACCATACACTGACAGAAAAGTTCCAGAGGTTCAAGCCGGTTTCAGAAGAGGACATAGAATGAGGGGATATCAGATGGATCTTGAATGAAAGCAGAGAATATCAGAAAGATGTTTACCTGTGCTTTACTGACTATGCAAAGGCTTTCAATTGTATGGATCATGACAAGCTATGGACAACATTACAAAGAGTATTCCGGAACACTTATTGTACTTATGAGGAACCTGTACATAGATAGACCAAGAGGCAGTTGTTCGATGAGAACAAAGGAACACTGAATGGTTTAAAATTAGAAAAGCTGTGCACCAGGGTTGTATTGTTTCACCATCCTTACTCAATCTGTATGCTGAACAAATAATTGGAGGATCTGGATTATATAAAGAAATATAATCAGGATTGGATGAAGACTCATTAACAACCTACAATATGCAGATGATACAACCTTGCCTGCTGAAAGCCAAGAGGGCTTAGAATACTTAGTGATGAAGATCAAAGACTAGAGCCTTCGGTATGAATTGTACCTCAAGGTAAAGAGAACAAAAATCCTCACAAATGGACCAATAAATAACATTCATATAAATGGAGAAAAGATTGAAGTTGTCAATGACTTCATTTTGGTTGCATCAGCCATCAACACTCATGGAAGCAGCAGCCAAGAAATCAAATGTACTGCATTGGGAAAATCTGCTGCACAAGACTTCTAAGGTGCACCTGGCTCAAGCCATGGTATCTTTAATAACTTCATATGCATGTGAAGGTTGAACAGTGAATAAGGAAGTTATGGTGTTGGAGGAGAATACTGAAAGTGCCATGGACTGCCAAAAGAACCAACAGATCTGTGTTGGAAGAAGTGCAGCCAGAGCGCTCCTTGGAAGCTAAGATGGGCAGACTTTGTCTCTCATACTTTGGACATATTATCAGGAGAGACCAGTTACTGCAGAAGGATATCATGTTTGGTTAAGTGAAGGGTCAGAGAAAAAAAAAAAAGAAGACCCCTAACGAGATGGATTGGCACAGTAACAGCATCAACGGGCTCAGGATCGGGCAGTGGTTTGTTCTGTTGTACATCGGGTCACTATGAGTTGGTACTGACTCGATGTCACCTAACAACAACAATGCACATATGTGGGGCACTGTAGTTAATGCACTGGACTGTTAAGCGTATTTCAATTGCAAGGTTGGCGGTTCAAGCGCACTAGCTGCCCCCAGGAAACCGTTTACAGGGTCACTATGGTCAGAACCGACTTAATTGGCACTTAACAACAACAACAACATATATTCCTCAGTTCTACAGACCAGAAGGAGTTCTGGTAGCGTAGCAGTTCCACGGAAGCAAGACGAGGCTTTCTGCCTTGGAAACCCTATATAGGGTTGCTATGAGTAGGAACCAACTCCACAGCACATAACGACCACCACCACCATAGACCAGGAACAAATTTTGCTATGTCCTCTACTTATCCACCTTGTATAAAAATGGCAAGATAAATGACATAACTTTCCTGAAACCTGTCCCACCATTGCCCACTAATCACCAGAGAAATTAATCCACTTCTAATCTAAAACTCCTGATGTGGTACTGTGGGATCAGCACTGAACTGTGAACCCCAAAGTCGGCAGTTCAAACCCACCAGCTGCTTCTAAGAAACCCTATACAGGATCACTATGAGTCTGAACTGACTGATGGGACTTAAAGAAAATCTAAAACTCTGAAATTCCTCTAAGCATACCCGATCTACTTAATATACCAACTCCACGGCACATCACTACCACCACTACCAAGCAAGTAAGTTATAGAGGTTTTTAACTTTGTTACTCACGAAGTGCTCTAAATTCAGTATCCTGGGAAGTCTGTCCATAATGCAGTATTTAGTAAAGATTCAAAACTCCTAATTAGAATTTTCAAATTTTATGAGTAACTTTATCAATAAACCAACAGTAGCTTTATTAGTTTCATCAACAATACCATCTTAAGATGGCAGAAGCGTAAAACTGCTATTTTCTTGTTTTTAAATAATAAACTTATCAGTTTCATTTCATTATATCAATTCAGTTTATATTAGTATGTTAATTAAAACTACAGTAGACGGTATCTGCATAAGGAATATTCTTTTTACCTAAAAAGCTTCTGCAAATGAGAAAATTATGTGCTTTTATTAATATTATTCTTCTAGACCCCTACACATTAGGGTTAAAAATGACAGTCCCAGAAATTTTGTTTTTACAATGATACTGCACAGAAATTGTTGTCACTGAGAGTTTGCAATTAACAATCTGTTCTATACTATAAATGTAAATATTTTTAAATTTTTCAGATTTTTAAAGTAATGTGTTTTTTAAAGCTATAAAGTAATCTAATCACTTACACTGTTACCAACAAATTTATAACTTTTTCTTTTCTAATTGCCTGCTATTGCTCAATACTGCTTTTGACTAAATCATGGTGTGAAATGGATAGAAAACATAAGTCAACAGGACTTTTCCTGTGCTATATTATCAACAGCCCTAAATATAGACTCTGATGTCTGAAGATACCTTATAAACTTTTAAAGGATACAGGTTATCCTATACTCATTTCTGCTCTTGCCTAAAAACTTTAATATACAAATTTTTTGAATTCATTTTAGAAATTATGATGAAATCTTTTAAAAACTATGTTATTTTTACAATTAATGTATCTTATTACTTTTTGGGTTCCAGGGAAACATGGGACAGTATCAATATACCAACAGTCTTCAAAGTAGCCGGTCAAAAGAAAAGTAATAACATAGAAATGAGCAGTCTCAATCATTAACTACTTTGTTGTTGTATCCAAGAAATTTTTGTTTACTATTAGTTAAAACTGAGGCACTCTAGTAGTGCTGTAGGCTAAGCTCTGGATTGACTGCTAACCTAAAGGCCGGTCATTCAAATCCACTGCTCTGTGGGAGAAAGCTGAGTCTTTCTGCCACCATAAAGATTTACAGCCTCAGAAATCCTGAGTTGGAATTGACTTAATGGCAGTGGCTTTTTCTTAATTATTAATTTAAACAAACACACAATATTTGCATTGATATATGTGACTGACTCATGAGTAATTTTTTCTTTTTCTAGATTCTTCAAAACAATAATTAAAGGTTGTATTTATCAGTTGTGGACAAAGAGCACTCTGAAATGCTCCCCTGTAGGTTGAACTCGGAAGACACTCACTTCCCACAGGAGGCTACATGGAAAGAAATGAAACAGAGAGCTTGTCTCCAAAGAGTAGTTCCAATATGCATGAGCTGCTCATGGATAACCCATCACTTTGAAGGTACTGAGATAATGCTTTGCTTAAAAACATACGCAAAAACAGACCTAAAACTCTCCCTTGTCCTCTATGGGGTAAAGTATCTAATTTCATCCTAAATAAGGTGGACTTTGTCCTCGTCTCTAGAGAAATAATCAAGGGAGTAATTAGGGTACCTTGGTATGCAACTTGACTTGAGAATTTGTGCTGGTGAGTAGGGGCTGGCCAGAGCAGAAAAGACTCACCTGGGAGCCCATTAGCAACTAATGTCAGGAGGCATGATTTAGCCTATTATGCAGGACTGGCTGACCCAGAACCCTGACACTAAGGCTCAGAGATGAGAACACTTGCTCTCAGGAGGGTAGCAGGTGCTGTTGGGACATGAAACCTTTGCATTGAGAACCTTCCCAAACTTCATCCTCGGCATCTCTTCGTTTGTATCTTCTTTGGTTATAATAAATCTGTAGTTGTAAACATAGTATGTTCTGTAAGTCATTCCAGTGAATTAACAAATGCTAAGAGATAGAAGGAGTGAATAGTTCAGTAAGTTAGGATGCCAGGTTGACTTCTAAACTTGTAATTCACATCCTAAAGGAGTAGTATGCAACCAGTCCAAATTTGTGGTCAGTGGGTCAGAAAACTGAGGGGTCATTTGAAGCCACCAAACTTGTGGTGGGCATCTGCCTATTTGGCAATTTAAAGGATTGTTGTTGTTAGGTGCCATCGAGTCAGTACCAAATCATAGCGACAATTTATGACAGCAGAACAAAACACTGCCCGGTCCTGGGCCAACCTCACTACCGTTGCCATGCTTGAGCCCACTGATGGCTGCCACTTGGCCAATCCATCTCGCTGGGGGTCTTCCTCTTTTTCTCTGACCATCCACCTTACCAAACATGATTATCCATCTCTAGCGACTGGTCCCTGCTGACGTCCCTCCTGACAGTATATCCGAAGTATGAGATGATGTTTGGCCATCTTGGCCTCCAAGGAGCACTTTGGCTGCACTTCTTCCAAAACAAATATATTGAAACATGGTACTTTCAATATTCTCTTCCAACACCTGAACTCAAAAGCATCAATTCTTCTATGATCTTCCTTATTCACTGTCCAGCTTTTGCATGCATATGAGGTTACTGAAAACACCATGGCTTGGGTCAGGCGCACCTTAGTGCTCAAGCTGACATCTTTGCTCTTCAACACTTCAAAAAAGTCTTGTGCAGATTTGCCTAATGCAGCATGTTGTTTGATTTCTTGACTGCTGCTTCCATGAGTGTTGATAGTTGATCTAAGAAGAATGAAGTCCTTGACAACTTCAATCTTTTCTCCGTTGATAAGAATGTTGTTTATTGGTCCAGTGGTGAGGATTTTTGTTTTCTTGACATTGAGATGTAATCCATATCGAAGGCTGTGCTCTTTGATCTTCATCAGTATATGTTTTAAGTCTTCTTCACTTTCAGCAAGCAAGGTTGTGTCATCTGCATATCACAGGTTGTTAATGAGTCTTCCTCCAATCCTGATGCCACATTTTTCTTCTTATAACCCAGCTTCTAGGATTATGTGCTCAGCATATAGGTTGAATAAGTATGGTGAAAGAATACAACCCTGTTGCACACTTTTTTTAATTTTAAAACATTCAGTGTTCCCATGCTCTGTTCGAACAACAGATTGGTCCACGTACAGATTCCTCATGAGCACAATTAAGTGTTCCAGAATACTCATACTTTGCAATGTTGTCCATAGCTTGTCATGATCCACATAATCGAAAGCTTTTGCGTAGTCAATAAAGCACAGGTAAACATCTTTCTGATATTCTCTGCTTTCAGCCCAGATCCATCGGATATCAGCAATGATATCCCTTGTTCCATGGTCTCTTCTGAATCCAGCTTGAACCTCTGGAAGTTCTCTGCTAATGTATGCTTGTAGCCGTTTCTGTATTACCTTTAGTTAAACTTTACTTGCATGGGGTATCAAAGAGATTGTCCAATGATTTCTGCATTCCGTTGGGTCACCTCTCTTTGGGATGGGCACAAATATGGATCTCTTCCAATCAGTTGGCCAGATAGCTGTCTTCCAAATTTCTTGGCAGAGATGAGTGAGTGCCACCTCACATTCTCTAAAGATTTCAATTTTTATTCCATCGATTCCTGGTGCCTTATTTTTTGCCAATTCCTTCAATGTACCTTGAACTTTCTCCTTCAGTCTAAAGGATAGCGTGCCCCTTAATTTGTGAACTGACCTAGCTCTGAGAGACTAGTGTCCAGAGAGTGTGCGGCTTGTGAGGGGAATGGGGTGGCTGACAATGATACTGGAGAAATGGGAATGCGGTCACTGGATCAATTTCTACATTTTGGGGAATGGATTCATGCTGATCTATACCACACTCCCTGACTCGCACACCTCTAGTAATCACTAATCTTCTGACTCATATTAGTGGGATCATACAATATTTGTCTTTTTGTGACTGACTTTATTTTACTAAGCATGTTTCTACTGTTCATCTATTTTGTAGCATGCATTAGAACTTCACTTCTCTTTATGGCTTATATTCCATTGTATAAATGTACCATATTTTGTTTATCCATTGATCTACTGATGTTAAGTGGTTTATTAAGGAAACAACAAGGTACAAGTCAGGATCAAGATCAACGGGCTACAACTCGGGATGATCAGAACCAAGAAGAATGTGGGCAAAGTCTGCAAAGGCTCACCCAAAGACGAGAGCACATCCATTCTTTTCTTCTGTTCAAAACTCTCTCTGCTTCTCTTTGCCATGTAACCCTCTCTCAGCCATACAGGCTAGCTCTTGGCCATGCAGTACTCCCTGCCATTGCCACTGATTTTGCCTCTCTTGCTGTCTTCAGTGTAAAGGGTTTGTTGTTGTTAGGTGCCATCGAGTTGATTTCATCTCATAGCAACTCCATGTGACTGAGTAAAACTACCCCTTAGAGTTTTCTAGGCGGGTCTTTCTCCCATGGAGCTACTGGGTGGGTTTCACACTACAAACCTTTCTGTTAGCAATCACTAGCCACCAGCACAGGATGGTTGTTGTTGCTATTAAGTGCCGTCAAGTCGGTGCCTTCCAGTTAAGCAGTCCAGTGCTTATCCTATCGTGCCATATCAGGACTAGAGAGTTAAATATTTCAGGTTTTGTGGGACATATGGTCTTTGCCATGGTAGTACAAAAACAACGATAGTCAACATGTAAACAAATGAGCATGGCCATGTTCGAACAAAACTTGATTTCTTAATGTTGATATTGGAATTTCATAGACTTTTCACATGTCACAAATACTCTTTTGTATTTGCTCACATATTTAAAAAATATATTTAAACCAATCTCAGCCCAGGGACAGTACAAAAATAAATACTCCTTACATCAAAGCCTCCATGAACACACAATGACTACTTATCTGCTAAAGGAAAAGCTTCTATTTATAAGTACTTGAAAACAATACTTACTGTTTTCTATGGTTGGATCATATGAATCAACAAATTGGCCTTCAACAAACTGAATTGTCAATGAGGATTTCCCTACAAAAGAAAACAATAACTAAGTATGTATTGGTATATTAAGGTAAAAAACTATATAACCCTACCAAAAATCAAAACCAAACTAAACCTCTATCAGACAAAAAACCAAACATAAAATCATATGAAAAACTTAAGATAAAAATATTCCTGAAGCAACTGTTTGAACAGTAGAAGTGAATCCGAAATAGTGAAATGGATTAGCATGTGTGATAAGCTCCCCGCCAAAGAGAAGACAAATTCATAGGAAACATCTAACAAGGCCATTTTTATATTGGCATCCAAGTTAAACCTAGAGCAGTTTTATTATAGGGGGTGAGGAAATTGGGGGAACAGCTTTAAGAATAAAAAGTTGTTAAGTGTCAATGAGTCAGTTCCCACTCATAACGACCCTAATAGTTCCAACTCATAGCAATCCCAAATAGGGTTTCCAAGGAGCGGCTGGTGAGTTTTAACAGCCACCCTATATAAAACTTGTTAAGTGCCGTTCGAGATGGTTCCAACCCATAACAACCCTATATAGGATTTCCAAGGAACAGCCGGTGAGCTTGAATCAACAAGTTTGCAGTTCAAACCAACTCTGCAATCTGGCACATTAACCCACAGTGCCATACCAGGACTCCATATAAAATTTAGGAAGTCACAATAAAACAGAAAACACAGTTATACATATTAAACAAGACAGTATGAGATAAAGTACAAAAATGGAGGGATAGGTACCAAGTGGACCAATTATTGTTACATTTATCTATCAAGATTTTTTTCCAATTTGTTATTATATGCAGGGGCTTCAAAGAGTTCATGGAAAAAATAGGACTGGTAGATAATGGAATTTTTCAACAAATATTTTCAAGCCCCTTGTATAGTATGTTCCATAGGGTTCAATGGCTGGTATTTTGTTAAATTATGTTACAACTTAACTTGTAAACATAAGTAATCATTTTGGCCAAAAGAGACAATGTAGTCTTACCAAGTCAGAATGAGGATGACAGCAAATTTCTCGCTTCACAAGTAAACTGGAATATCAGAATTAAAAAACATCATCCTTAGAGATTAAAGGTTAGAGGTTATTTAATCAGACTGGTCCCTGGGAAAAGGTAATAATCATTAGAAGCAGAACTGAAGAGAAGCTATGTCTCCCTTGAGTCTCGTCTCTTCTGTCACTTCCCTAGGGAGAGTTCATTATTTCTTTAAATTAAGCAAGGATTGGAAGGCTCCATTTGCAGCCATGACAGCTGTTTTCTACCATTTCCATTGAAAGGTAAAATTATTAGGCAACTGTGGGATAAAGAACTGGCCCATAAGGTCTGTTTGAACTACAAGGTCGGCATTTCAAACTCAGTCACTCCTTGGAAACCTGTACAGGGTCGCTGTAAGTAGGAAATGTTTCAAAAGCACCTAATAAAAATTCTATAAGTAATTAGAAGTCTGCAAGAAATGATAATCTTAAATAAACCCACTGGTCATTTTGAAGTGTAAGCACAGGACCACAAGATCAGTTTGAACCACAAGGTCAGCAGTTCAAACTCATGAACCACTCCTTGGAAACTATGCTGTGTTGCTATGAGTCGGAACTAACTTGACTGCACTTAAGTGCTTATAGATGTGTCTGGCTTTTACGAGTTGTCCTTTGAAGAAGCAATTTAGCAGCTACAAAAAGAATTATGTTCTTTACCTGATCACCCTTCCCTTATAATAATGTCATATTTTTTTGACTGTTGCCCTTTCCAAAGTTGATGGTGGTGATAAAGTACTGTCAAGTCGGTTCTGACTCATAGCGACACTATACAAGGTTTCTAAGGAACAGCAAGTGAGTTTTAAGCTAGGTTCTGAAATACTTCTCATAAGGCTTATCACTTTGTACAACCTGAGGATAATTTCAACTTCAGATCAATTCTGTGAAGAAACATGATTTGGAGTGATCTGAAATAAACTTTATCTACATACAAAGAGATACTACCAACCCATTCTATATAACACATTATTTTTAAAGGTTTGAAAATAATGTATCCCAATACTTTACAACTAACTTCCAAATACTCTCATCCACACACAAAAAAACTTAAAAAAAAAAAAACACAGTTAAAGACAGCATTCCCCGCCCCCCAAACAAAATGACAGACACACATGAGACATATATTCAAAGTTGTTAACCAATGTACAAAAGAGGCAGTTTAAAAAAGATTTTAATTGCTTTGAGATTTTGACCTTGTTTTCATGCTTTTTCTCCTACAAAAAGCACAACTAGTTGTGTTATTATTATTCCTTCCCCCATCTCAGCATTTTAACAGTTTAAGTGTCATTGAGTCAGTTCTGACCAATAGCAACCCTGTACAGGGTTACCAAGGAGTGGACTCATAAGCTTGAACCACTGACCTTGTGGTTCAAATGACTTTGCAGTCCAGCACAATAACCCACAATGCCAAACCAGGACTTGGTACCTGTGCCAATGAGATGTATGCGGTGGAGTAGGTTTTCAACCTGCCAAGTAATTCAACAGAAAGGAGGAATCCATATGGATTCATCATTAGGAAAGGCTGATCATCAGGTGTGGTGAAGGGTCAGCGAGGACAAGGAAACCCTCAGTGAGATGCAGTACCACAATAGCCACAACTGTCACAAAGATGACACAGGACCAGCAATGTTGTATTCTGTCATACAGAGGGGTCACCATGGGTCAGAGCAACCTGACAGCACCTAAAAACAAACCCAAAGTCTGACTGCACCTTCATTAACATTACTCTGAGGGACGATGATGTCCATGAATATAAACTAACTGATTAATCTCAAAATCCATAGTTGCTGCCACCAAAAAGTTTCACCTTTACACTACTGCAGTGACCATGTGATGAAAAGGTAATTACAACTCAGAAGGGCTCTACCTCTAAAATCTTCCTTTCCAACATTTCCTAGTTGTTCTTCAGTTGATTATGACCGGTTATCTGTAAAACTGTGCTTTACAGGGTTTTCCCCCTTAATTTTGTACTGTGAATTCAGTGGTTTACAGAGCAGATAGTAAGTTTTATATTCAACAAATCATATATTTTGTTTCATCTCAGTAACTGTAATCCCCTCAATATAACATCACTTATCCCATCTTCCTGTGTTTGCTCCTATTCCTTTTTCCCTAACTCTTCTGACTTTGTCCTTGGGTAAATGCTACAAAAATCTTGAATTGTTGACCATTCTATGTATATCCTCTTTATATATCTATTACTTGCTGAAAATTGCGGCACAGGGGTGAGTTCAGTTCCAAATCTGAAAGGTCACCAAGGGCCACCACTTTAGGGTTTCAAAAGTCTCTAAGTGACCAGTAAGCCTGGTCTTTATGATTTTTAATTTTATTCACACTTTTTCACTCTATCCAGGATCTTCTAATGTGATCCTTTTCAGAGCAGTTGCTATTGTAATCTGGCACCATCTAGTTCTTCTGGTTTTAGGGTCGTGGAGATTGATGTTCCTGTGATCCATTAGTCCCTTGGAGTTAACTGTTTCCAAGTCTCCTCAATTTTTATCACTCTTTCCTCCAGACAGGCAGAAACCAATAGGTGTACCCTAGACGGCTTTTAAGACCCCAATAGCTACTCAACAAAGTAACATATAGAGGATTGTCTTTGTGGATTACGTTACACCACCTAACCATGGTGTTCCCCCAACACTACGGTCCCGAACCCCTAGGTGCAGTGACTCATTTCCTCAAGGTGTTTGTTTATGCCTAAGAAGTTTCGTAACTTTGCCCCTTGTGTGCTCCACCACTGTACTTTCATAGGGTTTATTTTAATATTTTTTAAAGTTAATTTATTTTAATGCTTTTATTGCAAAGTAAGTGCCAGTTTACATGGGAGAACATAGGTTTTGTACTCATCCTATCGTATTTCATTTCATTGCAATGATTACCATCCCCTCCATGCATCATCATTCAACAGTATTTACTACTATCACCTCTTTTTGGTTTCTTTTATTTTATGTACACAAAACCACTCACACACAATCATTTAAACAACCCAAGGTTATATTCTATAAGCCAGCCCTCTGACTGCCAGCACATGGCCTTTTTCTTTCCATGAGTCTAGAGTTCTCAGCTGCTTTTCTCTCCATGTCATCATCTCTGCCTCCATCTCTGATGTCACTGTTTCTCTGGATAGGGTACCACATTCCACTCATGCTCTTCTCTCTTGATGGTCCTAGGGTCCTCTATTCCTGGAATGTTTGATGCACTACTCCCCACTTAATGTTACTGAATTTCTACCTTTACAGTTGTGACTATCACAATTAATCATGATAACAATTACTCATTACTGAATCATATGAATCTTATCCCAATCTCCTGTCACCAGACCCATCTAGACAAGATGAAAACTATCCAGTGGGGATTCTATGCACCCCACCACCACCGCCCTGCACACTCAAACTAAACTCCCTCTTAAAAATGTGTTAAGCCAGCCACTTTGTGCCTTTATAACTGCCACCCCCGCCCCTCCAATTTTAGGCAGCTAGTGTCTAAGGAGCTCTGGTAGCGTAGTGGTTACGAATTGGGCTGTGAACCTTAAGGTCAGCGGTTCGAAACTACCAGCCGCTCCGCGGGAGAAAGATGAGGCTTTCTACTCCCGTAAAGATTTACACCCTCGGAAACCCTGTATAGGGTCACTATGGGTCGGACCCGACTCGATGGCACTTAACAACAACAACAACAAGTGTCTAAGTTGCCCATCCCTATAAACCCTGTGTACAGAGGGGATAGGTTTGATTCTTGATGTGAAGACTCCTTCCCTTACTTGATATTTTGAGCTACTACATCCATAAGTATAGGTCAAGTTCATCAAATTGTAGCAGTTTATACTTGCTTCCTTTATGAAATTTCTATTTTCCTGTAGTCAAGTCCTGATCATGAAGCCATTAAAGCTAGGTCAAATGGGAACTATCCACAAGTTTGGGTATTGTGCATATCCCCTCACTTCCTATCAGCGGGAAGCTTCACTTTCAGCTCTAGTCTTCCATGCCTA